AAGATAGAATAACTTACCTTGTTGTTGATTATGATCCTTGAAACCTTGTGAGCCTAGCACCCCAATTGTAATGCCTCAAATGCTTCACACAACACCAAATGCAAAGGAATAAACCTTGAGAGAATCTTACACTTGCAAAGGAGTAAACCTTGATAATCCATGGAGCCTCTTAGCCCACTATACAAGTTATGGATGATTTACATAAGCAAGCCATATATTTAATTAGTTATCTTTTGATCACTTAATTAATTCTAAATTAATTTTTTACTAAACTAATTAAATAATATTATTAATATATTAGAACTTATAATATATTAATAAACCACAAGTGTTATTTTTCTCATTTAGTCTATCCAATTGCATGGTGTCATGCAACCCAAATGGACCATGTCGGGTCGGGTCAAGTACATACCAGAAATAGTTATGGACTTAGACACCTTATCTAACATTTTGTACATGCCAAGTTTCCTGATAGAGTATGTAAGCTAGAGAAATTCATTTATGGATGGAAACAAGCATCTTGCAATTGGAATCTTTGTTTCCATGAGACAGTTAAACAGTTTGGATTCTCTAGAAGTGAGGATGATTCCTATGTATACGTCAAACCTAGTAGGAGTATAGTGACCTTCCTAGTCTTGTATGTTGATGGCATACTCCTTATATGAAACAACATTCCAACTTTGTAATAAGTTAAGTCTTGGCTTGGAAAGTGTTTCGCTATGAAGGATCTAGGGGAAGCAACCTATATTCTTGGAATTAGAGTTCACCAGGATAGATAGAATCACGTTATTGGTCCTAGCCAAAGTACATATTTGGATAAAATAATGAAGCGTTTAAGTATGGAGAAATCAAAGAAATGAGAAATGCCCATTCATAGTATTGTTAAGTTGAGTAAGACTAAAAGCCCCAGTATTGATGAAGAGTAGTTGACATGAGTCGAGTCCTATATGCTTCAGTTATAGGATCGGTCATGTATGCAATGAAATGTACACACCCTGATGTGTCTTATGCTTTGAGCATGGTTAATCGATTTTAGGGAAATCCTGGTATAGCTCATTGGATTGCGGTGAAGAATATTCTTGAGTATCTGCGAAGAACAAAAGACATGTTCCTAGTCCTCAGCGTCAGTGATATGTTAAGAATGAGTGGTTACAGTGACGCCAACTTTCAAACATACTGATACTATTGTTCGCAGTCTGGCTAGGTATTCTTATTGAATAAGGGAGCAGATACTTGGAAAGTTTCCAAGCAAGAAATGGTGGTTGATTCCACATGTGAGTCAGAGTACTTTGTATTGTAGCAAGTGAAGCATCGAAGGAAGTAGCTTGGCTGAAGAACTTTATCGGAGATCTCAGAGTTATTCCAACTATTCAAAAACCAATAGAACTCTTATGTGATAATGAAGGCGTGGTTGCTTTGATAAAAGAACCAAAGGATCATGGTAGATCCAAGCATATCGATAGAAAGTACTATTACATTCGACATCGGTTTAAAGAAGGACACCTTCTGGTGAAGAGAGTATCATCAGAAGATAATGTTACAGATTCGCTTACAAAGGCTCTGAGCATAGTCACACACTACCAACATGCGAAGAGCATAGGCTTAGGAGAAGATATTAGTTTTAGTAGCTAGGTGATAGTTTTGAAACTTGTAACAAAATAAATGTAATTGATTTTGGTGAATGAACAATAGAAAATTATTTATGAGTATTGTATTGTCTTATTCAATTATTTATTCATGTGTTTCATTTTACATGTTTTACTTCCTGAGTAATTTGAGTTATTTAAACTTCCACAACCGTTCATACTTTTGGAAGTAAGTAGTGAATTAAGATTGTCATGAATTGATTGTAGATTTTTGATTGAGGTTCAGACATTGCAATTGGAATTGCTACCATATTCATGAGTACTTTGAAAATTGAGATTTTATGTATTAGATAAACCCACACTAAGAAATTACTTCATGGATACTGTCACGAGTAATTCTAAGACGATAATATCAACTATTTTTCAAATGGAGATATATAAGTTGTAATTCACAAATTGGTTATGTATGGTGTTGCATAAACGTATCAGTAACTTGATGTTATAAAACGTAACATCATATATGATTTGGTAAGTAATGGTTACAATTATGTAGTGAAAGTTTATTCGTTTCTTTTTCCCTAATAGTAAAAAGCGATATCATTGGGCCCCTTGATGATTTGATGTTGACATTATAGTGGTGCGCCCAAGCATGACTAATTGATGTGTTCAATTGAAGTCCAATAAAGTCTTTACAAATCGGGAAATTGGGAAACAGGATCTTAGACAATGAGATTGATTTTGATCCATTTCTAATGTCCATACGATATCATGAAGAACGAATGAATACTTGATCACCTATCTTAGGGCCAATGGCTAACTTGGATCAGAGTTTGGTAGTGGATTTAGAAAGCACACTTTACTATTTAATTCATGGTCTATACTTGCAATTCATAAATTGGTTATGTATTGGTGTTGCATAAACGTATCAGTAACTTGATATTATAAAACGTAGAATCATATATGATTTGGTAAGTAATGGTAACAATTATGTAGTGAAAGCTTATTCGTTTCTTTTTCCCTAATAGTAAAAAGCGATATCATCGTGCCCCTTGATGATTTGATGTTGACATTATAGTGGTGGGCCCAAGCAGGACTAATTGATGTGTTCAATTGAAGTCCAATAAAGTCTTTACAAATCGGGAAATTGGGAAACAGAATCTTGGATAATGAGATTGATTTTGATCCATTTCTAATGTCCATACGATATCATGAAGAACGAATGAATAGTTAATCACTTATCTTAGGGCCAACGTTTAACTTGGATCAGAGTTTGGTAGTGGCTTTAGAAAGCACACTTTACTATTTAATTCATGGTATATACTTGCAATTGTAGTTATAGATTTATCTAAGTGGGAGACTATTTGATTAAGGTGTCGAAGCTCGTAACTAAATTGGTATATTATTGAATTAGAAGCAAAGACTTTTTTGGGTTATCCTCATAAACAGTAACTAAATAGAACCAAAAATTTGCTCTCTATCTTCTTTCTCATAAAGTCTTCTAATTACTAGGGTTTTTGATACAAGCTATTACAGGCATTCAAACTTTTGGTGCTTGCTTTTCAAGGAACTTCAAGATGATTTGTGGTGATTATTTGCTATAATAATCAAAATGTATGTAACCCTAATCTTTGTGTGAATTTTGATTTTCATAGGCTTTTCTTAGGATTTCTTGATATTCATAATTTATTGCTCTCGGTATAGAAACCATTGATCCTTTCTATGTTGCACGCGAACTTAAGGATTTAAGTGTTTTCCACTCATATGTAATTTTATTACCTAGAAAATCCAACAAATACATGAAGGTAATACACACATCATCAGTTCTAACTTCAATATTTTACTAGCTCATGTCCTATCCGTCAATAGCCATAACAAAGTCAAGTTTCAACTTCTGGAAACAGCTAAACTTCATATTTATATAGCTAGTTGTTTTGTTCTTACACCTACAAAAACAATTTTACAAACTATAAAAAATTTTAAAAAAAAAAAAAAAAATTCCAGCCTTTTTTACTTACGGCACTAATACCTCATGATGATACTAATAATGTGTTCCTATTTTTGTCGGTAACTGTACATGATCTAATTTTGAATGTATATGGAATAATGGAAATCACTAGTATGTGGCAATTAAAACTCTTTGATAAGGTTTTCGCAAAAGGGCTGAGGTAAGAACATAGTGGTCACAAAGACACAAAGTTTTAGAGAATTGTTAAGAAAAAAAATATTGAGTGTTTGCTTTCCATATATACGACTGTTTCAGTTTTAATAATGATGATTTTTTGTCTATTTTATATATTTCTTTGTCGTTTCATCTACTAGTTGTTTGGTATGAACTGATCGATGAAGGAATAGTGATACTATTACATTATAATGAGAACAACTATTAGTTTTGTCAATGAATACTTTTTTAAGGATTTTAGTTCTTCTATTTTGTTAATTTTAAAATTTTAAATTAGAATTTTATTATTTAAAAGTAATTTTTTTTTTTGTATTATTATAATCTATTTGCTGTTTAATGTTCTGCTTATTATGTTTTTTTTGTTTGTAACTAAAAATTTAAGTAATTATAATTTAATAATATATAAATTAAAGTTGAAACTAATCACTTTTGTTATATATAAATTAATTTTTTTTTATAATAATTCAAATCACGTAAGGCTAACCAAACATATAAGAATAAGAAAATAAGAATAATCACAAAAAGATCATATGATTATGGAAAGTATAAAGAAATTATGGAAAGTATAAAGAAATGACCTGATTTTTAAATATTTACCAACATTATTAATCACGAATTTGGATATGGATTATAGTGTATTTTAATAATATACAAAAAGTTTTTTTTTTTTTCTTTTTAATTTGCATCGAACTTTTTTTTTTTTTTTTTAAATCTCTACGCTTTAAATTTGAATTGTTAATCACTGTTTTTAATAAAAAGATAACTTTATATCAAGTTTCGGTAAAAACAAAAAAAATCTTGAAATTTTTGATTTATTCATCGAATTTCGACGATGTTTTTAAAACTGCGGAGTACGTTTTCTTTCTATCGTAACACTTGGTTCAAATATTGAAATTCATTTTTTTATAGATAAATTATTTTTATTGTAACCTGAAGTTTGTGCAAAACAATATTTGATTTCATCAGAGAAAATATAAAGATTTATTTTGATTACTTTATGTAATGCAATAGTTACAACAAAGTATAACAAACATGGCAAAATCTTTAAAACAACGAACACATTCTTTTGTTTAAATGCATGTTTCGACATATCCTCTTTCTCAAACATTTACGTGATCAATACAAACACCAATAACACATCGCTACTACTCCCGTTTCCAAGGTAAAAAAATATCGTCAACAATTTACAACTTCCTATGCATATAGTATAACTCATTACGACATCTAAAATCCACTTAATTCCCTTCGTTTTTCACCAACTGTTGAGTATCCGATAACTCTACTTCCTCTTCATTCCAATTCCTGTCCTTTTGGAACAACAACTCAATCTGTTCCAACGACTTCCCTTTCGTTTCCGGAACAAGTTTATAAACAAAACCAACCGACAAAAACGAAAGAATTGTGAATATAAGAAACGTTCCCGCCATTGAAATTGCACGAGAAACCGATAAAAACGACATTGCCACGACTCCACTGCAAACCCTGTTTCCGACCGCTCCCAATGCCGATGCCTGAGCTCGAAGACGTAATGGAAAGATTTCCGATGTTAAAACCCAACAAACCGGCCCGATTCCGATCGAAAAGAACGCTACGTTTCCACATATCGATAGAATCGCTAATTCCACTCCGAGAGTTGTTCCTTTGAACAACGAAAGACTTATCGCTAGACCGCATAAACAAACGGTCATTCCGATTGTGCTAACGTATAACAACGGTTTTCTCCCGATTCTATCGATGAGCATAATGGCAACCAAAATGAATAAGGTTTTTGCAATTCCGACGGCTACGGTTGCGGCCAAGAGTCTCGACTTTTCCTCAATTCCGGCGGTTTGTAGAATCTCGGGACTGTAGTATACGGTCGCGTCGATTCCGGTGATTTGTTGGAAACACTGGATTCCGAATCCGGTGATGAGCATTCTTCGTAAAGAAGGAGACGGATTTAGTAATTCCCGCCACACGGCTTTCTCTTCTTGATTCTCTCCGGTTCCGGTTCCGGTTCCAGTTCCGATTCCGGCCGCCTTCAGGATTTCCGATAGTCTCTCCTCTACCTCGGATTCGATTTCGTTTGTTTTCATCAAAACGGATCTAGCTTCATCGACTCGGTTTTGCATCACTAACCATCTTGGAGACTCCGGAATTATGAACAATGCGAATGCTATGAACACCGATGGAAGGATTCCGACAGCTAGCATGATTCGCCAGTTTATATGTGAAGAAAATCCGGAAAATGCATAGTTGGACACATATCCCAAGAGAATCCCGATATTAATAAATATTTCAGGGAAGGAAGTGAAGGAGCCTCGAGAGATAGTCGGAGAAATCTCGGCGATGTACACCGGAGCAATCATGACACCAAAACCGATACCAATTCCGGCGAGGAGGCGACCCATCATCAGAACTTGGAAACTAGGAGCTAAAGTCATTATAAGTGCTCCGATCTGAAATATAATTGCAGCTATGCCCATTGTCCATTTCCGGCCAAGTGCATCGGAGGCACGGCCGCCGCCTAGACTGCCCAATAGGGAGATGACACTCAAGATTCCGACGAGAATTTCTTCTTGAAACTCGGTGATTTTTAAATCTTCTTGGATAAATATGATTGCACCACTCATAACACCCACATCTGAAAATTCAATAGTTCTTGAATCAAATTTCAACATCGCATTAATAATCACATTGACACAATACGCAATTAGCACAATTAGCACAACGGGATACGCATCGAATAATGTACGATATGCATCAGGTATCTGTACGTAACAGTTTTTTTTAGAATGCATTTAAAATTCCAATGAATTAGGCGAAATTAGGTATTATAGCATTTATGTCGTGTAGCTTGGAAACGGCTGACAGCCAAAACACATGGATCGCATGAATCTTTGCTGTTTCGATCAAGAACATGATTCGAAATCTCGGGTTTTTTCGGGTTTTTTGGGGGATTCAAACGAAAGATCAATTAGATGTAGGGGATGAAGAAAGTCAAACCTTAAATCCAGCCCAGAAAAATGGTTGTAACATCAGCTGAAACAGTTGTACATTTGTCTGTCGGCTACAGACTTCTAAAGCTGGATTTGAAGGTTTGAGATACCATTAAAGAGATAAGAAAAGATCGAGTACCATAACCAAGGAGAACATTGTTGAGAGATGCAAATACAGCACAGGCGAATACATATTTCCTTGTGCTTTTCGTCCTCTCCTGCTGTGTCTGCTTATACGGTGCAACCTCCAAATCATCATCACTGTAATCGTTAAGCTCAGAATCCATTCTTCTGTATTTGTTCTTCGCTCCAAGAGGAACACTAGACATACCCTTATCGCCACCACTCCCATTTTCTTGGACACCCATACTGTTAACGATCGGAAAGATACTAATCGATTGAACGAAATCCCAATTAACTTATGGGTTTTCCGATTCGAAGTCCGATGAGAAGAACCCAGTATGGATTTGGGTTAATTCATCTCATCCGATGAGATCTGGATCGGGAAGAAATCAAGAAGTTGAATATGTATCTTTATTTGAAAACTATGAGCAAGTGGGACCCTTTAAATGCGATGTAAGGTGATATTTGTGTAGGATTGGGAGAGAAAAAATAAAGAATTGTATGACTTTATGTATAACGCGGTTTGTGACCCTTTAAACCTTAAAGAAGAAAAGATGAAGATGAGCTTTCGAGGTAACCGTAGTTGATTGCAACTATTTCCATTAGAAAAAAAAAAAAAAAATTGAGATTTATCTACATATTCTAATAAGATATAATATCAATATAAACGTTTACTTTCTTAAGAAAAAAAGTTTACACATAAAAAGAAAATATTAAATGCATATTTATACAACTACGTGATATTCTATCTATCTGAGTTAACAATTTAACATCAAGGATCTGGGCCTGAATGTCTGACCTAATGGGCTAAGCTCAAAAAGGCAGCGAGCCATATCTAGTCTTTATGGGTCCGCATTTTTTGTTGGATATATAAAAAAAGTCTAGTTTTTTGTATAAAGGAATAATAAAAATTAGGAAAATTATGCATAAAACTTCTCCACTAATAAGCAATATTCTGATCAATTTGATTTTTTTATCTAATTGATTATGATGTGGTTTACGATCAAAAACTTCAGAAAAAGACATTACATATCAAGTATGACCTAAATTGAACAAATCAAATTAAACATACCATCATCATCATAATAATAATAGAAAATGACAAAAATAACCAATTATACTAATTACATTACAAAAATAATAAAAAAAAAATCGAAATTACAAAAATAGCCCTCAATTTCGTAGATGAAATTGCCCCATCTGCGAAATGACCATTCCATCTGCAAATGTACAAGCTGCTAAAGCACAACTGTGCTTTAGCAGCTTGTACATTCGCAGTTTTTTTTTTTTCTGTATATATATTGAAAATGTAGGGTAAAATCGCAGATGGAATAGCTCCATCTGCGATTTACTCTCATTCCATCTGCGAAATTGTGATTTTATTTATTTATTTATTTATTTATTTTTTTAGTTTCACTATGAAATTAATACATGTAAAATTATGTCTTTGAAACCACCATTGTTTTATTGTAGCACGAAAAAAATCGATCAACATAAGTGTTGGCACCTTACGTGCATGTCTACAAAACTTTTTATATAGCAACATGATTTCGTAGTCAAACTAAAAAAAAAAAAAAAATCACAATTTCGCAGATGGAATGAGAGGAAATCGTAGATGGGGCTATTCCATCTGCGATTTTACCCTACATTTTCAATATATATACAGGAAAAAAAAAAACACCTGCGAATATACAAGCTGCTAAAGCACAACTGTGCTTTAGCAGCTTGTACATTCGCAGATGGAATTGTCATTTCGTAGATGGGGCAATTCCATCTGCGAAATTGAGGGCTATTTTTGCAATTTCGATTTTTTTTTGGTTATTTTTGTAATGTAATTAGTATAATTGGCTATTTTTGTCATTTTCTCTAATAATAATAATAATAATAATAATAATAATAATAATAATAATAATAATAATAATAATAATAATAATAATAGGTGTCAACTACCTAAGTGGTGTTTTTACATGGATTCATAAATCAAATATTTATTTGCTCCAAACAAGTATTTGAATTGTAGACTAGTTTCCATTTGGATAAATTATAGACAAAACTATAAATTTAGTCCCTGTGGTATTCAAAAAACTTTGGATGGGGTCCAAAAACTTTCTCACTTGCATGGAAGGTCCAAAATCAAAACATTTCCGTGATTTTGGTCCAAAAATATTTGAAAAGACGATTATGCCCTTTTATTTTCTATTTTGTATTTTTTATAATTATTTTAATACTATTCTAATTAAAAAATAAAGAAAAAAGAAAAAAAATATCCCACATTGTAGAAATTGATATTTTGCCTTTAGATCTCGTTTCGTCTTCAGATCTCGGTACATCATCTCACCTTCATCTTCTTCATCACCTGCAGGCAACACACCAACTCCCATGGAGATCGGCTCTACAGCTTTCAGAACTCTCCATTCTTTCTCTCCACACTCCCTTTTAGTCGCAAAACCACACTTCTTCCCATTGCAGAAAGTCCTCCAAACACCCTCTTCCAAGAGCCTTCTTGAATTTCCAACTTTCTTGATCTTTTCATCATCTTTATCACACTCGAGAGCAATTCTAACGAGCCCAGAAGCCATTTCTCTCACCAAACCACTGATCGGAGTTTGAAGCTCGATCAAGAAAGCAGGTTGGGATGTGGGGTTCTTCTGAAATGCAAAATGGACATGGCCACGGCGAGACCCAAATAGGGTTCCGACGACCTTCGGTCCCAACCCATGCAGCAAATTTGGGCAGTTTTTACTGAGTGAAGTAAGAACTGTTCGAAATCTAGCTATTGTAACGGTTTGAAACTTGTTTCTTGTTAATGGTGATGGTGATTCGTTCAAGTCTTTCTCAATCTGGTGACAAGGATTGAAGGAAGGGGCTTCTTCTTCTTCTTCTTGATCTTCGTTCCTGACTTTGTTTGACCAGTAGAAGTGTTTCTTGTCTTGAGAGGTTTTCGCCATGGCTGTTTTCATATAAAAGAGAGATAATAACCGAAAGAGAAGAAGGCGACTCCTTAAAAGAGAGAGAGAGAGAGAGAGAGAGAGTATCGGTAGGGGTGGTGGTGGGCCCAATTCTTTTATTTATAATTTTTGATTAACAAGTTATTAAAGAAAATATAAAAAAATACAAAAAAGAAAATAAAAAGGGCATAATCATCATTTAAAGTTTTTTTGGACCAAAATCAAAGAAATGTTTTGATTTTGGACCTTCCATGCAACCTCGAAAGTTTTTGGACCCCATCCAAAGTTTTTTAAATACCACAGGGACTAAATTTGTAGTTTTGTCTAAATTATAATATGGTCTAGTGGTTTGAGGTCTTCCTTGTTTGGTTTGGTTTTCAAATTGGTCTTTACTTAACGCAAAATAACGCAAAATAACGCAAAATGATTGATTTGTCTTTACTGGTTTTTTAATACTATTAATTAATGGAAAAATATTAATTAATTATATTATAAATATAGTAATTAATAAACGGGTACCTTTTAATTGAAAACCCAAACGACTATCATCTTCTCTGTGACCGGAAAACCAACTCTGGCCACTGTCACATTAAACTCCGTCACAGTAACGAGTCTAGAACGTAAACGTTCACGGTTGAAATGAAATTGATATAAAACAAAATAGGTGGGTCAAGTGACCCACCTTTACCTCAACACGGAGCTTCGTGTACCAGCACCACTAAATTCTAGAAATGCAATTAGGAAATTGAACACTTGTATAAACAAACACACACGCACACAAATACACACACATAGGCACAAAACTTTCAATACCACCAATCTTTTGAAATAATAAACATCTTATTCTATACACCTATCATTCATCTATAAATCTGAAACACAAACAACCATCCCTAAACGAGATTAAAGAAGGACATGAATGAGACAGAATGTGATTCAAGAGAAGAACAGGTGGAATGGTACACAAGAACGAGACGTTAACAAATCGGGATATTAGAATGCTTGGATCAATGAGAGTTGTAACAACACTTTCATATTAAAGCATTTCGAGGGTACATTTGAAAATCTCTAATAAGATAAAACTCAATGTTCAAGAACAAAGAATGAAGAAGATGATATGATCTTATATGTACCAGAAAAATTATAAAAAAAAAGGCATATAACCCTTGTCTGGAAATTGACAAGAAAACCTATTATAAATAGTTTCACAACCACCATACCTTATCATAAAACTGCCACTAAAAACGGGTTCAAATACAAGATCACAAAACCGAGTTTAAGACAAAAATTCGACCCAGACAGGGGCTTTACCCCTTAGGAGATATTTCTCAACTCTCTACTTGAGCTCGTCCCTCGACTGAGGTATCATCCATTGTATCTTCTTTGACCTTGGGAGAAAGCACTAGTGACAAGGAATACCTCGTGACCTGGGACGTTTAGCGTTGCTAGAGTAAACCTATCGTAATATGCTATTATTGATTCTCCCTACTTTTTCTTTCATGTCTTGATTGAGTTCGCATCTCCCTTACCCTTCCTTAATTATATTAAATTATTGAGGAAAAGGTATCGTAATTGCTCAAAGCTCGAGATTCTTCCAGGTCATAGTGCCTTGAACCATTTTCCCGCATATCCCGATAGCCTAACATGGAAATACGTGCATGTAAACCGATTATCCATCCTTAGTGAAGTCATCGTCCACTCGTTATTGTCGATGTGCTCGTCTGGATCAGTGGTAACGTCGTATTTTGGGATGTTCGGTATCATCGTCGAGTGCATAATCTCATATTATAAGAGTTCCTGGCTGAAAGCAGAGTTGGAAATCCTCACCGGGTTTTCCATATATGGATATGAAAATCCACTATACATCATGAATTGTTGAGCATAATGTGGGTTGCCATATGTCTGATTATACAACACTACCTGCGATATGTATTGTTGCTGCTGTGAGCTCATTTGCATGCTTTGCTGCATTTGTGAGCTCGATCCTGGCTACTGGCGGATGTACAGATTTGGTCCTTACGATTGTTGTGTGTGGGCACTCAACTGTTGTGCCAATGATGAGTGAGGATTAGATTCCTGCACCGATGGTACTTGAGGAATGGATCCCTACACTTACTAAATGTAAGGATTGAACATTAGCGGCTGATGTGTGATGAATGGAACGTGTGACATGCCTACTATTAGGGAGAATTGATAGTTCGACATTGGTTGTTGCACGGAGGACGACATGGTTCTTAGGGACCAACTATTTTCCCCTACTTGCTGCAACAATGACTGTAGCTGAGAAAATGGTGGTT